CCTGTATTCTTTATCCTGAACCTATCAGCCTGTTTTCCATTTTGAAAGGACACTGTCAAAACATCTCTCATCACTGTTGAAATAATGCTTTGCCTGTTGTTTAGAGTAATAACCCCTTGGCAGCCTGAGCCGGAAATCTGTTTCCTTACCGAGTTGTTTTTTGTCTCTGACTCACACCCCAGTTTGTTATTGTAGGGTTTGCTCTGTGCCAGGCTGCCAGCAGGACTGGTGCATAGTGAGGGCTTTATGCAGGACCTCGGTGTGCCCAGCACCTGCTTGGAGCTGGGGAGAGAGGCAGCATCAGATGCTGATTCCCCTATCAGCCTCCTGGCTGGAGCAGCATGGCTCTTTCAATGGGCACTGCTCCAGACAGGCCCCCACTGCTGCTGGAAGTGGCTGGGAGGTGTTGTCCAAGAGCCCGGTGATGGCACAGAGGGAGCCCGCGGTCACACGGCCAACACCCGTGACAGATGCAGTCGGCCAAAGTCACCACTGAGGTGACGCTGTTTCTCCGTCTCTGACGGTCCCACCCTGCGTCTGCCTCCTCCAAAGCACACAGCCACAGCCAGCTCCATCTTAGGTACCTGTTGTTGGGCCAGGCACCATCAGCAGGAAATCTGCTGCTCTCGAGCCATCTGGCTTTGCTTGCAGGCCCAAAGTGGAAGTTTTGCATCACTGGGGTGCATCCCGAGGGGATGTTGTGTGTGGGGTACCGAGGTGTGGAAAATCCTTACGGGCCAGCACCGTGCCAGCCTTTCTTGTGGGAGCACTTCTGCACTGCATGGGTTTTGTCATGCCTCCAGGGAGCAGGGCATGGGACGGGGTTTGGGTGCTGGGACACCTCCTCTGAGCTCACTGGGCTTGCTGACTCCTGCTCACAGCTGACTGCTCTCTTTATTTCTTCCATCCCAGCTTCCCTGGAAATGAATGAAAGCTCTCGCTGGACCGAGGAGGAGATGGAGACGGCTAAAAAGGGTGAGACACTCATTTCCTTTCTTTTATCAACTGTGCTGGAGCTAACCCAGCCATTGGGGATGGAAGGCATCTGACTGCTGGCTTTGGTGCAGTGTGGTGGGTCCTGAGCTGTGGGGCCGGATCCTGCCTGTCCTGCTGTTGGTTTGTTCCCAGCACACCTCAGAGAGGGTGTGGAGAAGGCAGGGAATGGTGCAGGGAGTTTGCTCAGCTTCTCCAGCCCCAGGAGCTGTGCCAACACCAGGGATGCCTGGGCTGTGGCTGGAGCCGTGCGTGTCCCAGGAGGCAGGAGTTGGCTGTAGGAAACGGAGAAGACACATTGTCCATTGCAGTGTTGGAGCTGCTGGCGCCTGTAGCGTGAGGTGTAGTTTCACCCCACTGTTCGGAGCTTTATGGCCTCGGTGTGATGTGTTCCAGGCACACGGAGAGTGTGGCAGCTTGGGGATTCAGGGAGAGGACGGTGAACCCCAGCACTCCTCAGGCACGTGTTGGGGGAGCTCTGGAGAGTCAGGGCTGCAGGCAGCGTGGGGTGACTTTACATCCTGGAGCTGATTCAGAGCCTTTGCTGAGACCGTTTTTAAAAAGTGCTGAGTGTAGCACAGCCCTTCTTGCCACTTCCCCTCCTCGTGCCACTCCTGCGCCAGCTCTTTCACTGCTTTAATTTTTTGCCAAAGTCACGTCCTGTTGATGGGCTGTCGAGCTCACGTCCCCAGCCCGTTCATCCCGCTTGCGTTGCTGCCGACTCTGCTGGCCCGGAGAGGATTGTAAATGGGAAATTAAAATGGAAATGAGCGCCGTTCGGGGATGGCAGAGGCAAATAGGCGTGTTAGCAGGTTCGGCTCAGCTTGGAAAATGCACCTGCTGCTGGGATGGTGATTGCATGTTCTGGAGCGCCGGCTGCCCAGGTGCCGATGGGAGCTGTGGACTTGGATTACTTTGCCTGTGAATATCCCAAAGTGTTTGGCTCGCTCGCCTTTAAGCCGTTCCAACCCTCTTTTACAACCCAGTGCCAATCCTGTGCAGTGCTGAACGGGGCTCTCTATAGTCACAAAACTTAATAGATAGACTTTAATCAAGCAAACTGGCCTGGGGCCAGCTAATGGGGTGAGCAGATGCTGGCAGGGGAGGGTCGTTGGAGGGATCTTTTCCGAGCACTGCCTTATTTTGGAGATCAGCATCTGGTTGTTAAAAAGTGCCTCTTGTTTTATGTTTGATGCTGGAGGTGTGCTTAAGGAGTCTCAACACCAGCTGCCAAAGCCTGTGTGAAGGAAGGATGAAGCGTGGGAGCATGTAGCACTATTCCAGCCCAGGGGCCAGGAGGAGGCAGGGAGATTTGCTGGTGTAAAGCCCAATGGCTGATTGTTTCTCCCATCGTTAAAACCTGGGAAACTGAGATTGCAACACCAGACTTCTACAGAAAAGCCAAATTCCCCTCTGCCAGGAAGCAGCCGCTTTAATGCTTCGAACTGTGTGTGTCTGGCATTTCCAGGGAGCTGTGTGGTGGGGGTTTCCGACTCACAGCAACTGTGAAACTCCGGAGGTAACCTCAGAGGCTGGAGGAGGTGGTGGCAGGGCTGCTGCCAGCATGGCTGGGCAGGGGCAGAGGGGGTGGTGGCCTGCTCAGGGCTCAGAGAGTCCTCACCACAAGGACTCAGCCACCCAAGGCACCCTCCTCCATACTGGTACCAGTAAGAGCCCATAGCTGGGTGTTCAGGGAGCTCAGCATGATGTGAGTCCCAGGGAAGATCAGCCCTAGCACCCCAGGGTATTTTGGCAGGCGGGGATGGTCGGTGACCTCTGCTCCTAGCACTTGCCAACCAGCAGACCAGCCCAGCCCTGCTGTCCACCCCTGGGTTTCTTGTGTGTGGCATGCTGAAACTCCGTGTCATTTGTGTTCAGGGAGGTGAGAGAAAACAGCCCTGGGACAGAGAGCAGAGCTGCCTGCTCTCTCCACAGTCACAGAGCTGCATAGGGAGTTTCCAATCAGGAGAAGGCAGGATTGTGTCTGCCAGGGGAGACAGTGAAGGGGAGTACCATGTTACTAAACTTAAATAGGGGAACAAAAACCCAGCAAGAGGAGAGTTCTTGCTTAATGACACTTTTCATTATGCAATAAACTTCGATTCAGTAGTCTGTCAAAATGTGCAGAGATTGGTGGGATAACGGTGGGGGAATGTGTTTTTCTGATATTATCTCCTTGCACCATGGCTGTGATCCTTACAGCAGGAGGTTTTGATTTAACCAGAGCTGGCTCAAGGATTTCCCTGTTCCCTTCCCAAGCTGGGAAGCAGGCAGCACCCACTGTTCTGCTGCAGGGCAAGGTGCAGAGGCATTCAGCAGCCAGGATGGGGCTGCTCTTCAAAAGGCAATATTGAGGCAGTTCCTGCCTTTGGGGAACCTGCTGGATGAGCCCACACAGGCAGGAGTTCAGGGTAGGCTGGAAGGGGGTCCGTGAGCACCAGCCTCAGTGATGGCTGTGTTTATTGTCCCCCCAGCCCCTCCACCAAGTGTCACCACTGGTGCCAGAGCTTCAGGGCAGCCAGAGCCGCCCTGGAGCTGAACTCGATGAACCGGGAGGTTTCGACATGACCTTTGTTAGTCTTTAAAGTCTGGTACCTGTTCTCGCCCAGCTCGGGGTTTTCCCGTGGTGTCTAACAAGTGGTTTTGTTCTTTGAAAAGAGGCAGGTGGAAGTGGCAGGTTCTTGCTGAGGTCCTCCCGTGCCTTGCCCAGGCTCTGCACTCCTTGTCCTCAGGGCACAGCCAGCCTGGGGCTCTTTATGCCTTTTCCCACGCTGAGGACACAGAGAGGCCACGGGATGGAGTCAGCGTGATGAGGCAGAGGAGGGTTGGGCACAAATGTAAAACACTGATGACAGAGAGTTAAATAACCCATGAAAACTCCTATGTAGTTCCTTTTGGGTAGATATAAAATATTCCCTTGGATACCGAAGGCACTCTTTTGAACACTAGTTCTCAGTGTTGCCAGCAATTCTTCTGAGTTTTGGACTGACCTCTGAACCATTTTTCCCCCAGTCCCATTCTGTTCACAAAACTAAAATAAAATCATCCACCTTGCATCACCTTTGAAATGCAGGAGCTGGCTGGTTGATGTTGGGGAGCTGGCAGCTCCATACCTTCCTGCCTTTGTCTCCCCTGTGCTCATGTTGGAGCCTTCCCTTCTCCCATTGGAGGCATTTACAGCTGTAAAAACCTGCTGATAGCAGTAAAAGTGGGTTGGAGAAACGGGTTTGCAGCCTGTGCCCATCACTGCGTGTTGTCCTTCTGGGTGGGATGTACCTTGGGGTCTCCCACTCAGGTGTTCTCTATCCAGGCAGGGTGCAAGGGCAGCCCAGAGCAAGGAGAGCCCAGCCTGGCTATCCCAGTGTCCACAGCCAGAGTCCGAGTGTGCCTGGTGTTTGTCGTGAACTCTGTACAAAGTGATGTGGTAAAAATTATCAGGATGGGGCAGATTGGGTGCCAGGAAGTCACAACTGTGTCCAAGGCGTAAATTAGCCACACTTGCCCTGAATGAGGCTGTGGCTGACTGCAGTCCCATCCCTGCCATCCCAGGCTGCCTTTCAGCCAAGGTGTTACCCCCAGGATCATGCCTGTGGTGCCCACCGTGCCCCCAGAGCTGCACTTTCTGCCACCACTGGCTGAATGTTTCTCGAGTGTGTAGGAGCAAACTGTGAGGATTTGCTTAGTGAGTGTCAGTGAATGGAATACAAAAGGCCTGTCAGGAGGAACTGCTGGGTAATTACTATAATTTGCTGCCTACATTTTAATTTTGAGTATTATTTTTTCAACAATAAGGGAGCGGGAATAGTATCTGAACCAGGTGAAAGAAGAGAGCTGGGCCTGCCAGCAGTGGCTGCTCCACATGTACTCACTGCCATGCTGGACCAGAGGGGATGGCACATCTCCAGGAGCAGGCATCCTCAGGGGGACTTCCTGTCCCCTCGTGTCAAAGCATAGCACACAGCAAAAAATAAAGTCTGTGGCAGGAGTAGTAAAACCAGGTGGGTCTGTGATCAGAGCACAAGGCTCAAGGTTTTGCAGCAGGTGGATGCAGTGGTATAGGAATTATCCATTTCAAGGGTGAGACCTGGGAGCTGAGGGTCCCCAGCCAGGGCCAGCAGAGATGGGACATTGCACTAGAGCTGAGCTGGTCGGGGGTCCCAACCCTTGCTGGTCAGGTACCCACACCTTGTTTAGTGACACTGCCTCCCCGCAGAGGAGCAGCGTGATGGGTGTGAAAGGTGCTGGGAAGTTCAGCTGCAAGCTCCCTTGGAGCTGTGGGACATCAGAGGTGTGCCTGTGTCCCGTCACCAAACGAGAGGTCCACTGGGGAGCACGGCAGGCTGGTGCCAGCATCACCTGAAGGAAGGAAGGGCATCACTCACCAAGGAAGGAAGGAAGGAAGGAAGGGCATCACCCACCACGGTAGCAAGAGCACACCGAGCCAGCTGCCTGTGCCATGGTCCCTCCGGCAACCCCCCAGCACCTGCGGGGATGTGGGCTCGCCCCCCACGCACCATCCTCGCTGCTTCCCTTGGCACAGCATCAGGAGCCTGGCATGCACCTGGCTCTGCCACCCACTGATCCATGGCCCTGGAGAAGTTACTCACCTTCTCTGAACCTCTGCAAACCAGCCCGAGGTTAGTGAGGGAAGGCGATGCTGACCGCGCTTTCGGGATGCCTTGGGTGGTGTCGCTGACTCCATAGGGCTGGTCTTTCTCCAGAATAGGATTGCGGCACATTTTGGCTGTGCCGTAGCCAGAGCTGCCTCCATGTTCGCTCCCAAGAGGGTGTGTGGGCACAAGAGGTACTGAAGGATCATACCAGGTACCGTCAGGCGTAGGGAATTGGTATCACTTAGTTTTTTCCCCTATAACCTTGGTCTGGTAATCCGCGTGAGCTCCCATTAAGGGACCCTTTTACGGGCTCTCTCCTCCCTCACCAAGCCCAGGGTGGAGCTGGGCAGCCGTGCCAGAGAGCCTTGGAATGTCTCTGGTAAAAACCCGAGCTGCAGAGAGCCGAGGGGGTGCGAGCCCCCAGCCCTCGCCTGCCGCGCTGCCCCTCCGCCTTTCTTCTCAGCTCCCCGAGATGCTGAGCGCAGCACCGCGTTCTCCGAGCTCCTCTTCCTTCCAGCCTCCTCTCGCCGTACGGGAGCAGAGGCCTCGGTCTGCCCATTACGGCACCGGTGCCAAAGCTCTCCGCATCCCTCCTGTGCCAGGGCAGCAGCTGCAGGGCTGAGGTGTCCCGAGGCTCCGCGGCACCCCGTCGGTGCGGCACTGGGCTCGCCGGCGCGCACGTCCCCAAAGAAAAGCGCCTTTGATTCACTTGAGAGCGGAGAAAACTATTAGCCAAGCTTTGTTTTCCTGGATCCCTCCCCCTGCCGCTGACATTCAGCCGAGAGCGAGGGAGACAGAAAGTGAGCGAGGGAGGGCGGGAGCGGGTGCCAAGCGCCGCACCCCTTGTCAGCTTGGGTCAGCGCCACGTTCGTTATTAATGCTCTGTCTAGAGGTCACATTCAGATGCAACGAGCCCCGGGTCAGCCAGAGGAACAGATTAGAGCTTGCTCGCTGCTCCGCCACATACCGACAGCACCGGCTCCCCGTCCCCGGGCTGGCAGGAGCGGAGCTGCCGCGCTCCCGCCCCTTCGCTTTCCTCCTGCCTTTTTTTTTTTTTTTTTTTTTTTTTTTTTTTTTTTTTTTTAATTATTATTATTTTTTGGCAACGTCGGGCATCTCCTGAAACTGCACAGTCTCCCTATAGCCCCGAGCTGCTGAGCAAGGAGATGAGGTAGGGGAGAAAATACTGGCGGCGCTTCCATCCACCTTAAGAAGCGCGGCTGCAGCCGGCTGGAACGCTCCGGAGAGCGAGCAGGAGGAGAGCGGAGAGCGCTGTTCGCTCCGAAGGGAAGAGCGCTGGGGCCGGAGCATGTGTTCCCACCAACTTCTGCCATTGGGGTCAGGAGTCTGCCGCCTGTGACCTGCTTTCCAGCCTCGGTGCTCGTTTGCTCGCCGCTCCCGGCCGCCCATGGCTCTGAAATCCTCTCGCCCCCAGGATTTAAGGAACCGGCTTTGCTTTCTTCTCTGTCTCCGGCTGCTGCGAGGGAGCGAAAGCGAAATGCGTGGGGAGGGTGTGAGCGGAGCACTCGCAGCGCTTTGCCGCGGGCTGCCGTGCCCGGGGGGGCTTTGAAGAAGTGCCCTGACAGCCGTGTCCTTCCCAGCCCACCCGCTGCACACTCCAGGTGTGCTCCCTGCCCTCCGGAGCACGTAAGTCGGGTGTTGGGGTCCGAAGGATGGGGTTAACCTCAAGGTTGTGTGTGGCTGCGTGCCTGCGGCAGACCCTGCGTCCGGAGCCCCCGCCCCGAGCCGAGGAGCTCAGCCTTCCTGAGGATCTGATAACTCGGTTAGTCATAGTTTCAGTTGCGATACGGAACGAAGGGCTGGTGCTGCCGTGCCGGGCTGGAGTGCCGGGGAGCGTGGGGCAGGGGGAGCAGGCTCTGGGGTGGCTCTGCTGAAGGAGCTCATGGAGATGGGGTGCCTGGAGCTCACCGGCACGTCTGGGGGTGTCTCGGCTGGTCCCTCCCGAGTGTGCAGATTACTACAGCGTGGGAAGCAGGTGTTGCTGTTTGCTCTGGTTTCATGTAGAAGAAGAGTGGTGGGGCTCCCTGCTGGTCCCGCGGGCAGGGGCTGCAGGCAGCCTCCTCCTCCTCCTCCTCCTCCTCCTCCCAGGCAATGCCGCCTGCCCGGTCAGCTGCAGGCTCCTTCAGCAGTGCCCCGGTGAGGAGGGGCACAGCCAGCCTGGGCAGGCAGAAGGACAGCCAGGAGCTGGCATTGCCTGTGGCTGGTAAAGGTCACACCACGCTGGGGACCACTCACGCTGACATCCATCACATCCCCAGCCCCGAGCTCTGCCGTGCCAGGTCCTGCTTCCCGGCATCTTTCCTGCCAAAGCACCCGTGCTCATGGCACATCCACACCGCTGCCAGTGTCTTCATTTCAGCTTTGCCCGGGGCACACAATCAGCCTTGGCCCGGCTGTCACACTTGGTGCTGGGCCACCAGTGTGGTGATGAGCAGAGGGACAGAGCTGCTTGTTTGCTTTGGACGGCAGCAGTGGGTTGTGTCAGAGGGGATGAGGTTGTGACACTGGGGACTGTCCTGTTTTCCCCTGTGGCATTCAGCAACGGCAGGGGGAGGACTCCTGCCCCACTCGTTGCCTCAGGATCGGTGGCCGGATGTGATCTTTTTTAAATCATTTTTTTAAGAAGTCCCAGCCCGTCAGCAGGGTGACAGAGGTCGTGGGTTTGGCTGAGCGAGGCTGGGAGTTGCAGAGTTAAAGCTCAAACTTGTTTCTTGGCTTGCCAGGGCCTTTCTGGTGCTCAGTGCATGTGATGCCTCGTCCATGCAATTTGATAAGCCTGGTGCTGGGACGGGCAGGATACAGGCACCAGCTGGATGTTAACTCCTGCTGCGCTGGGTGCTGCTGGTTTTCTGCAGGACCTGGGAAGCAGGGAGGGGGATTTCATCTCTCTGGGGGTACAGGGTGCCATCTACTCAATGCAGCCATGCCCTCAGCCCTCACACCGTGCCCTCCCCTTGCACGGACTCACAGAACAGATCCTGGCTGCGGGCGCGTCCTTTGGGCCCGGTTGCGGGTGGCTGTGCTGAGATCAGCCCGTCCCCTGGGCTTTGCTGTTGGGCTGGCACTTTAGGGCAGGGCTGACACATGGCAGCAGCTTGGCAGGAGGCTGGCAGCAGGTCTGGGGCACAGCTGCCACATTCCCAGGCACGAACAGAGCCGTGCCAAGAGCCCCAGTGTGGGACTCCCCGTGGTCCCAAGCCCTGTGGTGTCCGAGCAGCCAGGGAGGGGCTTGGATATGGAGCCAGTGGTCAGTGCCTACTCCCAGCCACACATGGCTCTGTGGCTGCTGGCCTCTGGGCAGAAAGTCCCCCAGCAAAGGAGAAAGATGTTGTTAGCACGTTCATTCCCTGCTGGCTTTCATCTTGAAGTTACCTTTCTGTGGCAGTGTGGTAACTCTGGACTTACAGACTCTGCATCCTGTGCCCTCACAAGGTGCAGGGAAGGACTGGGGAACTGTTGTCCCGATAGTGGCATCACATGGGCAGTGAGGAGCAAGCTGGGCTGGCAGTGTCCTGCAGGCTGGTGGCAGCTCCAGCCCCACAAGACACCACACGAAGGACCAGCCACACAGCAGGAATAAATGCAGGCAGCGAGGTGTTACTTCCCAGAAAGCCTGGATGGTTCTTTCACAGGTCACCTCCAGGAGCCTGGGGTACCACTGCTCCCATCCCTGGGCTGTGGTTGTAACTCCTACCTCCATCTGCAGGACCAGGAGTGCCCAGATACCCCCACAGAGATGGCAAGGACACGGGGTGCTGACTGTCTCCTTCCTCCTCCTCATCCTCCTCCACCCTGCTGGGTTTGCCCCGTGTTTGAGTGGCACCATCTGGCCAGGATTGCCAGCCCTTGGCGTGATGCCTGACCTGGGAAGCTGCTTTTGTTCATGAGCCTGTGATCAGCACTAATCCCCTGGCACGCCTCTTCCCAGCCAGGGACATCACCTGGGCTTACCTGCCTGGGCTTCCCTCCCCTTCCCTAACAGGGCTGTGTGCCTTGCCACCCCTCCTGAAATCGTCACTGGGCACAGGAGGGTGGGAAGAGCCTTGGCTTCATGTTAGGGGCTGAGAGCAGCTGTCCCAAGTTCTCCTGGGCGTGCCAACACCTGCTGCAGCTGTCCCAAAGGAAAGGGAGCACCGCTCGTCCTCGTGACTGCCGAGACATGGCTGTGGGATGTATTTTATTCCAGACACCGTCAGCACAGTGCCTTTTTTCCCCTTTGGAAAGAAAAACAGGCTCTCATAGGTCATCCCCTGGCCTCGAAGCCATTCAGACAGGTGCTAGTGACCTTATTGTTCCTGTGTAGTTTGGCTGGCACGGAGGAGGTTTCCCGTCCTGTGTGGATAATGCTGCCCTTGTGTGAGTGTATCTGGTGTTAAACCTTTCTCCCCTCTGCCTCCTCCAACTGCAGGTCTCCTTGAGCATGGGCGGAACTGGTCAGCCATTGCCAGGATGGTGGGCTCCAAGACTGTGTCACAGTGCAAAAACTTCTACTTCAACTACAAGAAGAGGCAGAACTTGGACGAGATCCTACAGCAGCACAAACTGAAAATGGTGAGAGCCCTGTCCCAGCCTGCTTTGGGCACTGTGGGTATTTCCTAGCAAGTGCTTGGATGCTTCCCACAGCCAAGGGGAGCCTTTATCATGTTGGGGGAAGCCCTGGGGACTGTGGAGTGGCAAAGGGAAAGAGCTGTCCACCCATCTGTCCCTGGGAGGTCTGGATGAGGCAGAGCTGCTGTGTGGGAGATGCCTGTGTGTCTGGAGCGTGGCTGGTACGTGGGGAGATAAGGAGCAGGAGGAGGAGCGGGGCTGTGGTTTGTTGGCCAGGATGCAAGTTCTGATGGCTGTGCAAATAGTTTGTCTCTGGTGAGATTGTGCTGTTCCACCCCTGTGAGCAGAGAGCCAGGCTGGGCCGCAGGGTCTGTGCCTTGCAGGTGCTGCAGTTACCTGCAGTAAATTGCCTTGGTTTGCCCCAAAGAAAATCAGGGATTTAGGACAACGTGATGAAAGCCTGGCTCTGAAAGAGGTTTTTTGCAGGACTGCAAGCAGATGTGCACACCTCTCTGTGCCTCAGTTTCCCCTTCAGATGGGGCTAACGCTGCTTCTTTCCTGGCATGTGGTGCAGGGTGTGAATGTAGTGGGGCTTGTTTGGTGTTCTGGAGATAGCTTGGATTGCTTAGAGACACTAAAGATTATAATTATTTCATTTGTAGAGTATCCTGGGGTTCCCAGTTTCTGGCTAATAAAATTCACATGGCTAAACCCCCAAGGGGTGCTTTGAAAATGCAAAGGACAATGTTCAATGCAGGAATCTTTCCAAGCAAGCTATTACAGCAAGAGTAAAAAGAAAGACAGGAAAACATTCAATGACTCACCCAGGAATTTAATATCCTAGTCAGTCTATAGGAATGAGAGAAAGAGAAGACATCGGCGATTCTTTTTTATTAATTCTCTATGCACAGAGACACTCCTGTGTTCCCATGTTTCACCGAATTGTTTTTAGAAACAAAGCAAACAAACTATATAAAAGACCCCCAGACCCATATAAAGGCTGGAATGAAATAATCTGTGAAATGTGCATCAAGCCCTCTGAATATAAAAAGTTACATTTGAAAGGTATCATTGTTCATTACTGGGGAGAATCTGAAATAAGATCATACAGTTTTGCTGGCAGTGGAGCCGGTGTGTATTAATTTACTCTGCTCCCTAATGTTGCAGAAATTATATCACGGAAGTGTTTTTCTGCAGAACCACATTTTTCCCTGCATCCGTCCCTCCAAGGCAGCCGCTAGACTTCTCCAGTCTAATTGCTCACTCTCACTTGCAGTTTATATCAGCATCATCATTTTATTTTTCGAGCATTGGAGGCTGTGGGATTCGGTCGTGGAGAAGAACAATGAACATTCAGCTGTTATTTATTGTACTCTATTGTTTTGTGGCAACAGCAGATGCCAGAAAGCTGAATAAAATAAAAGAACAACTGAGATTAAATTGCCATGGACCTTCCTTCCTGACTCCTAAATATAATCCCAAGCAAACCGAGCCTCCAAATCTCATCCTATAGCCAGTATCAGCCATGACCTCTGTGGAGGAAGCACATGGTGAAGCAGTGTGGCATTGCTTAGTTTTGCCATGATTATTAGTTTTGCCACAGATTATTCCCTGACCTCACCGCCACCAGCTGATCATGTGCAGGGAAGTGCAGTGGCTCTGCTTTTCCTCCTCATGCTAAATGAGAGTAAACTTTACTGGCAGATCTCATTAATTTCCCAAATGGGGCTTGTTAGTATTGTGGCCTCCTCTTCCAGGTCGATGTGAAACCAGGATTCAGGAGGGTGCAGGTGGCTCTGAGGAGCTGTGGGGACGTGCTGGCAGCAGTGGCTGGTGTGGGATGGGAAACAGACACAGAACCAGTGGGCTGCACCCTGGGACAGGCAGCGTGTTGCTGCTGGGGCAGGGTCAGGCCACCTTGAGGCTTCACTTTATCTGCCCTGCTGTGTGTTTTGGCTTGGCCTCGCTGCTGCGCCGCTCGGATGCGTCCCAGGCACCAGCGTCACTTAGCCTTGACCTTCTGCACACTGCACTCGCTAATCTTGGCATTTAAGGAAAGCGGGGCATTGGGATA